ACTTATTAGAAAGAATACGAGTTCATAAGACGCCGAAAACCACATGTCAGATCAATACAATTCCCAATAAACTAGTACCAGCAGTCTCTCGGATTGAGTCTGGCGATTTCACTAAGTTGATACTCACGATCAATTCCTTGATTTAAAGAAAAATCAAACAAGAAGATAAAAAAATAGCCTAAGACCCTATTCACTTCTATTCTGATGGGCTGAATATCTTTCATAAGGAGTACTAAAAGTTTTGATTATGAAGAAAGAAAGAAAGAAAAATAGATGGTTTTGGTTCAAAACTAACATTGAATATCTAGATCATTGACATGAAGTTCCAGAAACATAGAAATTTCAACAAAACACACACAATGCGAGCTGAAAATGGGAAAGTGCGAAAGAGGAAAAACTTATTTCCTGATAGCCCGAAAGAGAAAATAAATACCTTATTGCAAGTGAGGGGAGAGGCTAGGAAATAAATGCAATCGGTGTTGTGTTCCAACAATTCTTCCTCCATTTTTCTTTGTAAATAAAAAGCTGAAAGACAGAACACTGCTTGGGTTTACAATTTTACATGGCGGAAAATTGAAGAACAAAAACCAAACGAGAGGAGAATGCGTTGTTTGAGATTTCATTATATTTGATTATCTGTTGGAAAATCTTTAAGCACAAGGATTAAACGAAGAAATTATTATATGTCATTTATACAAAATAATTCCAGTTTTTTTGGTGACTTTCAACAATGATACTTAGTACATCTTAGTAGTATTTGTCAACTCTGCATTTCTAACCCCATTTTGTTTCACAAGCATTTCATCGAACATCTATGCTTCATCTGAGATGACCTGTATCTAACATTACACCTTGAATCGTTGATGGTCCCGATAGTCCCTTGGTCGGGTCTTCTCTCAATGGACCCTTATCCAAGTCAACACCTCCACATAATTCAAAGTTAGATTAGAATTTCCCATGCATCCCCGACTGAAAAGTTACGCTAGAAATGAGAAGAGATCAGCGAAAAAGGAAATTCGAGATCGAAAAAGGAAATTCGAGATTGAAAAGGAATTTGAGGTTTATAATGAAATTAAGGATTGTGTTGCAAGTTTTAAAAGTTGGAGGACCTAAATGCAAGCACTTGAAAAGTTCAGTGACCATATTGTAAACGTACTAACGACAGTGTAACGTCAGGGATCATATTGTAAACATACTAACGACAGTGTAACGTCGGGGACCATATTGCAAACAAACTAAATGTTGGGGGATTGTATTGCAAGTTTTAAAAGTTGAGAGACCTAAATGAAAGCTTTAGAAAAGTTCAATAATCATTACTATACTTTACCCATAAAGTTATTATTTTATATTGACATTTGTATCTTTTAATAATTAAAATTTATATAAACTTGTAATCTTAATTTGTTGAAATTATATTTGAACTAAGCATGACAGGAGCTGTCAATAATATCTGAGGAATAAATATTCTAAATTTCTACGTGAATGTTACATTTCTATGAAACTATTACTTAATATTCTTCTAAATTTTTGCTTTCCCGAAAAAAGCACCCTTGTATTCTTTAATTAATTTGGTGTCAAAATAAATTTAGTGAAGAAAATTTAAAAAATAAAATAGCCGATAGATGATTATCGAAGTGGTTAAAGTTATGCACAGAGAAGTTGGTTGAAATTCCGAATAATGATTTTTATGTTTTATTTGAATTTAAAGATTTATAAAGTACAAAATAAAAAAAATTCTTCAAATAATATCTTATTATATTTTAAAGAGAGAACATTCGTAAATATAAAATATATACAATATGTATATTATCATATTTGTAAATTAAAAATAATTTTATTCTATAAAATATAAAAACACATTATAGAATAAAATAAAATAAAAAATACTATTAAAGTTAAAAAAATTAAATTTATAGCGAGTGCATAAAATGAAATAAAATTAAAGAAAATTAACAAAAATCATGTAATTTGGATCAAGAATTCGAACTACCCAAACAACAAATGAAAACATAATAAAAACTGTACATCTAAAACTAATTAGCATTCTTAATCATCATTTTTCATTCATATCCAAACAAATACGTCATCTGATTCTAATCTTAAGTTAGAACTACACTGAACAACATAACTACTGATAACCAAACATAGAAAAAATCAATGCAGCCCTCCTACTCAAATTTAACTCAACAAGATGGTTGTGTTACGAAAACACTTGATATTTAGTCCAACAATATAGAGTACAAAACACAGATTAGAACAAAACAGCAAATGGAATGCTCACAACAAAATCATCACTTTCTGTCTGTAAATACCAGTTGCATGCATCAATCAGTCTGGTAAAATTTGCTCACCATCTGCATCTGCTTCAGTCTCAACCTTGGGTTTTGGAGCTTGTCCAGCTCCGGGAGCCTGCTTCTTCTTAATCCCGCTTACTATGTCATCGATCCTTAGAAGCATGCAAGCAGCTTCTATGGCAGTCTTGAAAGTTTGTGCCTTTACATTGTATGCATCCCATATCTGACCAAAAACCGAGCAACACTTTTAGTATTACTCACTACATTCAAAAATGATCATTGAGAAAAGAGGGTTGAGAAGATCAAATTATCTGCCCTTTTTCTATAACTAATTATAAAGAAAAGAGAATGGAACACAAGGGATGTTAATTAAATCAAAGGCTAATATGATGACATGCACATGTCACTACAATCTAAAAGAATGATTATTTCTCATTCCGGTCCACTCTCTAAAAAACTTGTCTAAACTCTATTTTACCTCAAGTTATCCAACCTTCAATTGCCTTTGTTTTCTCAATCTAGCCCATAAACAATGCACAACTTATACACTCGTATTTTGATATCATCACTTTACCCACTCATCTTCAGCCTAAATCCCTTACATTATCTGATTCTTGTCACTAGTCTAAAGGTCGTCGCAAAAAGTGAGAGAGAGGATTTTCAGACAAGGAATTTTCAGGACATATAGAGCAAGTTTTCTAATCATAGACCAAAATAAGTAATTTCTTAAGAATTCCTTTCTTTAATAAACCACCACTTTGTCCTCAAATGAGTTGTAGATGTCTTCCATGGCTTTCAGTTAACATCTTGAAAGATAGGACATAATTGTTTGACAAATCATAGTTTGGGATGAAAATTGCAACAATGAACACTACAGTTAGAAAAGTGAAATCATGGAAAAAGTTAAGGCTAATAGTGCAGTCAATTAAGGAAAAAATCACACCTTGCTCTCTTTCATGTCAGCTATAGCACCAGTGTTCCCATCTATGCCAGTCCATGCATTTTCACCATTTGCATGCTTTAAATCACATGTTGAAAACACAGAAACAGAAAGGATTAGGATAAGGGCATCTTCAAAAGCGAAAACTGTAGTGTACTCTAGAAACATTCAAACCTTTCCTTGCAGAGCAGTCATGGTTCGAATCACATTAACCCCACAATTCTGTGCCAAAGTACGTGGTATAGCTTCAAAAGCAATTGCAGCAGCTTCATATGGCCACTGTTACATATCCAGTGAATATAAAAACTTTTTAAAAAGCCTAACAGGGCTGTAAGTATACATTCAAATATCCAGACAAGTTGTCATATTCAAATCATGTAACTCAAAAGCTTGACATTAATGCTCACCTTTTCTATGCCTTCAACAGATGAGCTCTTCTGCTTCAAAGTGGCAGAAACTGTTAATTCTGTTGCACCACCACCAGGAACAAGTTTTGGATTCTTGATTATGTTTCTTGCCACAGACATGGCATCCTGTAATTGAAACATGCCTCAGAACTTTGACCAGAATATAGAAAAAGAAACAAGCTTCATAATTTGATTCCATTTTACAAACAGAAGTTGCACAGCAAAATCACTTACCTGGAGATTTCTTTCCACCTCATTCAAGAGATCCTTACTAGCACCCCTTAGAAGAACTGTACAGGCTTTTGGATCTTTGCAATCAACAATGAATGCAAAGAACTCATCCCCAATTTTTTTAACCTCAAACAACCCTGCTCCAGTACCAACATCAGATTCCTGCAATTCATCAGGACGATTCACAATAACAGCTCCAGATGCCTTTGCGATTCTATTGTTGTCTGTCTTTCTCACCCTCCTAATTGCACTTACACCAGCCTTACACAGATAATGGCATGCCAAATCACTAAGCCCTTTTTCTGTAATCACCAGGTCTGGTTTGAATTTCAGAATCTGCATGCAAAGGTTCTCAATGTATTCTTCTTCCATTTTCAACAGGACTTCCCAATCTTCTTCCCTGACCAGCTCTGCATTTGTTTGGTTCTCTCCTTTCTTATACTCAAGGGGACAATCAAGAAGTATAATACGTGGATTGACAATCTTTCTTTTCATTTTCCCAGGTGCAACTACATCTTTATTGATCATCACTCCCTTGAGGACCTTAGAATCTTCAAATTGTCCACCAGGTACTTTCTCTACTTTAATGTACTTTTTAATATCAACTTCTCTCAGCCCTTGGCCAAGGTCAACTCCAACAATTGTAGTTGCATCAATTGCCAAATCCTGGAAGTTACACAATTAAGTAGATAAAAAAAATATGATACAAACTTTTAAACTTCATTCTTAACACTTCTATTTTGAATAAAATAAAATTATTATGAAAAGCGAGCAAGTGCTGCACACAGAACATAAATTATTGATAAAGAGAAAGCTTCTGAACTATTTTGCAGCAAAACTGAAGGAAATAAAGAGTAAGAAACCGAGTGAATTGAGGAACATCAATTTTCATTTATCCAGATGTAATATGTAAAAAAGCCATTGCACAAGTTAACCTGTGCCCCTCCTGTTTTAGTAGGGATATTGTTTCAAACAGTTTCAATCACTAAATATGTAGTATCAGAATTAAGAGCAACCTGATAAACAGCATATAAATAAAAACGAGGAAAATGAAAGAAACAAAAAGTAATCTAGACAGACCCATTATATTGTTTACTCAAACAAAAATGGTACAAATATTGTTATTTATTAACTATTATTAGTTAAATCTACAAACAGATTAATGGACATTATCTATGTTATACTTGTGTCGACATGACAACAAATTTGGGTGCAGAATACATGTAATGGCACTAGTTATACAAACTTAGGGTCTGTTTGTTTCACGTAAAACATTTTCCGGAAAATGTTTTCCTCACTTTTAAGTGTTTGATTGGAGGAAAACAGATTGGTCAATGTAAACATTTTCCTGGTCAACAGAATTTCCTTTGCATTTTCTGGAAAATGACTTACGGTTTAATTTTCCGTAAGTCATTTTCCAAACTTTTCACTTCAAAGCATAAATACTCAAAATAATATTATTTTATAAATTTAATATTAATATGATATTTTAGTATCATTTTAATAAAAATATTAATTATTAACATATTTAAAATATATTTATTAATATTTTTAATAATATTATTACAAAATATAATCAATTATATTATAATAATATATGATACTATTATATTCTTATTTTAATAATATATAATAAATTATTAATAAAAGTTATATTATTTATTAATTTCTTAAAAATAATATTATTGAATTATTAATAGTGAATACTTTTATTTATGTATTTAATATTAATATAATAGTCTAATAATATTATAAAAATTCCTTAAAATATATTTATTAATAATTTTAAAATATAATATAATATTTTTTATTTTTATAGATATTCAATATAATTTATCATATTTTTATTTTAATTGCATAAATAGTATTAAATAAAGAGAAAATCGCCTCAGTGACCAAAAATACCTTATAATATACGATTTTAACCAACTTTTTTTGGATTTGCCAAAATGACCAATAAAATCGCAACGTTAAAAAGAAAATCGCAACGGTCAAAAGAAAATCGCAACGCGATTTAGAAGAAAATCGCAATGCGATTGATAGAATCGCAATGCGATTTATATAATCGCAATGCGATTGAGAGAGTCGCAACGCGATTTAGAAGAAAATCGCAATGCGACTGAGAGAATCGCAACGCGATTTAGAAAATCGCAACGTTAGTTTCTTAAGAATTTTCTCTAAAAAGATAGTATCCGCGCGGACGTGTCGAAGACACGTATTACCACGACCACGACCACGACCACGACCACGACCCGACCCGACCCGAGACGAGACGGCGACGGCGGCGGCGCGCGAGAGTCCCCCTTGTCCTCTTTCACTCAACAAGGAAGTGCAAAATACAAGCCTTAAATACCATTCCCAATAGTATTTCCAATACTATGTGGGATTGAGCATTACCAACACTTGTTCCAAATATCATTATTCTTCATAAGTTATCATCCATTACAATATGAATTAGTCGTGTTAATGAACCAATATACCTCATTAATATATGGTATTGTTGAACAAAAGAATGATGATGATGATCTTATTAAAGACCATCTAATACGAAAGAATCCAATGCATAACCGATACCTTATTGTGAAACTAATTCACATAGAGGTTATACGTGAAAAAAAAATCTTTTACTTTTATAGTAAATATCTATCTCAATAATTTTAATATAAAAAATATATTTTTTATTTAATAATAGAATTATTTCATGTATTTATCAAGTTATAATTTTAAATACTTATTAAAATGAATTAATTTATTATCGATAATTCATATTGTAATGGATGATAACTTATGAAGAATAATGATATTGGGAACAAGTGTTGATAATGCTCAATCCCACATAGTATTGGAAACACTATTGGGAATGGTATTTAAGGCTTGTATTTTGCACTTCCTTGTTGAGTGAAAGAGGACAAGGGGGACTCTCGCGCGCCGCCGCCGCCGCCGTCTCGTCACGGGTCGGGTCGGGTCGGGTCGTGGTCGTTGTCGTGGTCGTGGTCGTGGTCGTGGTAATACGTGTCTTCGACACGTCCGCGCGGATACTATCTTTTTAGAGAAAATTCTTAAGAAACAAAAATCTTTTAACTATATTTTTAACGTTGCGATTCTATAAATCGCATTGCGATTCTCTCAGTCGCATTGCGATTTTCTTCTAAATCGCGTTGCGACTCTCTCAATCGCATTGCGATTATATAAATCGCATTGCGATTCTATCAATCGCATTGCGATTCTATCAATCGCATTGCGATTTTCTTCTAAATCGCGTTGCGAACTTGGAAGCTCGCGTTGCGATTTTCTTTTGACCGTTGCGATTTTCTTTTTAACGTTGCGATTTTGATATCGCGTTGCGATTTTATTGGTCATTTTGGCAAATCCAAAAAAAGTTGGTTAAAATCGTATATTATAAGGTATTTTTGGTCACTGAGGCGATTTTCTCTTAAATAAATTATTCTAATATTTTTAAAATAATAATATTAAGTTTTTATAATAAAAAATATTATTTATTATATTTTATATTTGCAATAAATAATTTCTAAAAAATTTATCAACTAGTGAAAAAATGGTTTACACAACATCTTCCAAACATCATAAAACATTTTCTATAAAATGTTTTCCAGAATATGTAATTCATTTTAAGGAAAATGTTTTCTGAAAAATGTTTTCAGTGAAACAAACGGACATAGTCTTTCACATGAGCTAAATCAAACACCAAAAATGAAGTGGCCAGAGAGATTTCTGGGTCATGTGAAGAAAACCCCAATCCACAATTGAACAAAAAATGGGTTTGAATATTCTACTTCTACATTCATTTTGGTGAAATCCACGAGTCTGAATATTTTAGCAACAGACATCCTGACACATGGACACAGCCACTTTAGAAACTCATATCTGAATTTATGTAACTATCCTCCTTTTGGAAAGTTCAATGATTCCTTTGGTAACAAACATATACAATTCATTTGTTTGTTGTTCATGTTGAACAACTTACTGTTAACCATTTGGAATTAAATATGAACATGAATCTTTATTCATAGTTCAATAAACTGATAAATAATGATGTAGCAGGATGGTCAGATGACCATTTTAACCATAGGCCATATGCTAACATAACGGTCTATGCACATTTTGATTTATCATAGTAATCAAAATCAAAATAAGCAAAAAAGGACCCCATAAGAAAGAAGCCACTCACAGCAATAAGATCACCAAATTGGCTAGTGAACTTTGTCCCTATACAGCTCTTCACAAGCCCCAACACTGTTGAACCTGTTATTCGGATCCACATGTTATGATGTGAAGCATGCCAAAGAAATTAAATATGCAAATACTACCTACACAAATGCAGAAACAGCTAGAAAAATTGTTATGAAAAAATTTCAGAGAGAAACATACGGTCTTTCACATCAATAGACATTGCAATCTTGTCAAGTACAGCAATAGCATCCTCTAAAGCCTTATTGTATGCTGCAAAAGAAATGGCTCTTCATCAAATGCCAATTTATGATTCAAAGGCAGAAGCTAAGAATATAGAAGCAGTTATAAGTTATATTACCTCGACAAATTACCGTTGGATGATAATTTTTTTCAATAAAGGCTTCTGCAACATGAAGCATCTCACCAGCTACACCCAAAAATACACGTGATGGCAGTCATATCATCAGAAGGTAAAAAATAAAATAGGGATGAGAACATGAACATGAAGTAATAAATATCATTCGAATGTCCGATTCCAACTGTTAAGCTAATCTCACTAAAATCCGATTGGGAATTAGCTCTCAAAAACATGTAGATAAGAATAACATTGCAATACAAACTAACTTACAGGAAAAGAAAAAAAAATGTCAACATAGCACACAAACCAAACTGAGCTGTACAAAGAAATACCAAGAACAATGACAGATGTTGTTCCATCTCCAACTTCTTCATCTTGTGTACGGCTTAATTCAATCATAGACTGCCATGACCAACCAAATCAGATAAGCAAGAATGAAAACAAGACAGATAATGGGAAAGAATATAGAAGCAGGGTGGAGTATCATGCCTTTGCAGCAGGATGTGCAAGATCTAACTCACGTAGAATTGAATTTCCATCATTAGTAACAACAATACCTGGCAGAAACCAAACCAAAATCATGATTGAACTTCATTAATTGTGATCAAGAGTCCTTTTAAAGGGTTTAAAAAATATTTGAGGGAAACCCAAAAACAGAGCAATGGAAACGGAATTAGGTTAAAATTGTGTCAAACATAACAGGGAAAATGCAAATAGTAGTACAAAAGGGATACCTCCAGCAGCATCAAGGAGCATTTTCAACATGGATCGAGGACCCAAGGTTGTTCGAATAATGTCAGCAACGGCCTGAAAAGTTTCTTTGGTCAGTGAACATTGACAGACAACAACAACAACAAAAAGGAAATTATATCGATGACTCAAAATTTTTGAGGTTCGGATTCTTCGATAGACATATAGCACAGATTCAGAACTTAGAAACATTGGGTTTACACATTTTTTGTCTAGCTTAAACAGCTTATTTTGCAATTTGATTTCAGATTGAAGCAAAGTAAGTAAAAACAACATAAGAATAAAATATTTTAAAAAAAAAAGAATGAAGGAAATCACCTTAGAGGCTTGGATATTAGCATGGTGAACCTTGGTCCCAGACTCCCGCTTCAATGAATCCTCTGTATAGATCAACGATTTTTAGGAACAATTTGAATCTTCAAGGCAAATGAGATTTAAATGCGATAAAAGAAAAAGAAACATACTTAGAACGAGAACTGGGGCGTGCATGATTTATGATTTGGTAATGCGCTAAAACTTAAAACCAATCCAAGTGAACCACAACCTCTCTTCTTTCTTCTTCTCTTTCAAGTGTTTTTCTGCTGCCTTTCTACTTTCTAGTTTCTACTGGAAACCCTATTAAGGACATGGCTCGTTTCACAGTGTTGCTGCTGGGCTTCCTTTGTTCGCTTTCTGTCCAGAGGCCCAAATTTCGATTTTCACTTTGTTTGTTGTCAAAATCAGATCCATATGTCCATTAATATTTTTTTAATAGGTTCAGTAATATTTAAATAAATAAAATAATAAAAAATGGGTTTTGCCTCATTCAACTATTTTTTATTTATTTTTTATCTCTTTTTTTAAAGGTTAATTCTATATCCAGTTAAATCGATCGAACTATTGATTTTTTTATTAAGTCGAGAAAATTACATTTTCAAAATTCGTACATGCATAAAATGAGACAACACAAATATTCTTAATTAGTAGATCAATTAACGAATCTCATCCAATTATTAATTTTAAAATATATATAAATATATTAATATATAAATTAATTGAAATGTTATTAAAAACCGGATATTCTTCAAAGCCCTTTATGTAACCTAAATTTGTCCATTAATGTTCGTATATAGACGAACATTATAATCATTTTCTTTAATTTATTGTTTATAACTATTGTTAAGGTCATGTTTTGTAGTATTATATTTACCAACAAAAACCATACAAGAAGAGCTGACGAAAGATAAAAGTTAAGGGTGGGAGCTAGATGATGAACTAACCATAGTCAATTCTTTTTTATTTTATTTATTTATTACTCTGAAATACAAAAAAAAAACATCAAACTTAGTTATTTGATCGTATAATTTGTGTCTGATGTTAAATTTGATTAATCTCGGGCATACTAATAAATAAAACTGTTTAAACTCAAATCACCTAGGAAGAACAATATTCCTTTTATTCAACTTTCACTTTGATGCATTTGGTCTAGTCCCATCTGGTGGAGATCCTAGCCACGAGTCCATTCTTGGTGTGCAGGATGACGGATATGGCCGGAATAACTGGAGTTTCTTCCGATACATGAATGCGGTAGTTGTAAAGTATAGCAGATGCCACGGCTTTCATCTGAGCAAACGCCATCTCCTTCCCTAAACATATCCTCGGCCCTGCACCGAAGCACGAGAACTTGTACGATGGCTCATGCTTAATCCCTCCTCGCTCGTCAATCCATCTTTCAGGCTTGAATTCCAAGCAATCTTCTCCCCACACCGATTTCATCCTCCCCATCGAATACAAATTTATCAAGATTTTCATCTTCGGATGAACCGGATGCCCGCTCGGAAGCACGTCTGGTTCGACAGGTTCCTTGTGGTTGAAAGGAACGGGTGGATACAACCTTAATGCCTCGCACAATGCTGCATGTAGGTAAACCAAATCCTTCACCTCCCCCACTTCAAACAACCGCCTTTTTCCGGTTTCCTCTTTGGGAATTTTCGATTCGAGCTCTTCTATGATCTTGTTTTCGGCTATCGGATGCCTCGAAACCAGCCAGATGAACCAAGTGAGAGCAGAGCTAGTTGTGTCCCTCCCTGCAACCATCATATTCAAAATGGCGTCTCTTAAGAACTTATCATCACATTTGAAACCAGTCGATTTCTCTTCGGTTATGTATGATGTTAATAGATCAACTCCGTCTTCATCGTTCACCTCATCCAGTTCTTTCCTTTTCCGGCGTATATATGTAGCTATTACATCATCGAGAACTTCACATGCCTGTTTATACTTTTGTTCATGTCCCATGTTCAACCACTTCTGCAACTTAACAAAACTCCCCGGCCTGACATGCCGATAAAACACTGCTCGCTCGACATCGTCCACAGCCTTACAGAAAAGAACTCGAGGCAATTCAAGGGAGAGGCTATCAGGATCATAGCCGGTAACCAAGATGCATACAGAATCAAGAGTGAACCTTTGGAAAACATCTTCCAAGTTTACAACCAAATCATGTTTAGCAACATGATCAATGACCGGAATCAGCCCCTTTTCGACCTTGGCAAGAGTAGTCCTGAGCAAAAACTTGTGGAACAGATGATGTTTGATGAATCGTTGAATGGTTATCCTCTGGTTTTTCCAGGAATCCATGTCTGCATTGAAAATCCCATCTCCCAAAACATCGAATATCTTCTGGTATTCTGGTCCCTTAGGGTAGTTATTGAAATTGGAGCTCATTATGTAGTGAATGTTGGAAGGGTCGCAAGTGTAAATCATGTTCATGTTGGAAAACCAAGGGCCTGCAAAAACAAAAGTGCCATTACATCTCTCCAGGGTCTCGGTGCACCAATCGTGGGTCCGATGAATGTTGAGGAGAAGCTCCGGCATCATCCCGATAAGCGGGAAACTCTTTGGAGACTCATCGTTTTTTCTCAAGCAGTAGAGGAGGAGAAAGCAAATGAGAGCCAACAAAATGACTAATTCCATGAAATTCCAAAGCTTTGGGGATTTTTTTTTTATTCAATAACCAAAAGGAATGTGGCAATTAGAATGTTAAGGTAGGAGTCTGTTACGGTACAGAAAAAAAAACAATTTTTTCTGAAGATTTATATTTTCTTTGTTACTCGATGCTGTGAAATAGACACATCAATATGATGACGATTGAATTTGTCGACACGAATACGACATGCAACAACAAAATATGTGTTAAAATAAATAAATAAGAGTATATAAAGATTCAATTTTTTAAAGCCTAGTCTATGAAAAAGACGATGGAGATTTTACTGTAGTAAAAATGAAGCTTAGAAGTGTTTGAATCTTTAAAACACAACTCGAGAGAGCTTTTTAACTTACACCGGAAAGAGTAGACAATAGCTCTTATAGAATATCCTCTTAAAACCTCTCACTCTACTTCCTCTCTTGCTTGATTTCGGTCGCCGCTCATGAAGGAGAAGAGACGTATTTATAGTTGATTTACAGGGACTAATTAGTGCATAACCTGTTTAGTTTAGGACCAAAATTATGAATTATCAAAGGATTAATTAGTAAATAACCTATTAGTTTAGGACCAAAAATGCCAGTATGCTTTTGGTAATTCAATCACTTGCCTACTAATAATTATGGTGCCGTAATAGTTAGGTTCTGTTCCCTTTCAATAATACAACCCACACATACCACTCTACGTACTGTTCACTTTAAATAATACAACCCACACCTACCACTCTACGTACTGTTCACTTTAAATAATACAACCCACACATTCCACTCTACGTACTACTCTAATATAAGGAAATCTTATCAATAGCGTAACACTTCAGATTAGACAGAGTAATTTTTTTTAGGTTCGACAGATTACAACAGAAAATATTATATTTTTTATAATATTTTCAGTTATAAGCTCCAAAACCTCATAATATAAGCTTTCGATTGCAAATGAAAATGTTATAAATTTGTATAAATTTTTAGGTTGAACATGATAAAATTAATCTTAAATTAGGCTAGCACACTATAGAATTATCCCTCTACAAAACGTATATTTCAACTTTTTTATGTGAGACTCTGTCTTTTCCTTTTTCTATTTTTTGAAAAAAATTCCCTTTTTATTATATTAAAGTTTTTATTTGTTGAATCATTTTGCTTTTTGAAAAACAAAATGCTCTAATAATGAAGCTTTTCTAACAAAATGATTCTATAATAATGTTTAGATGGCCATGACATTATTTTGAATGGTTTTTATGTACATATTTTTAGTGGTTAATATTGATGATTTTTTGGTCTTTGTACTCTTATTGCATTTGGAATTCAGTTTATTTTTAGTTTAAAAAATTTAATTAATCTACTTTTTAGATTTAAAAATTCAATTCCAGTTGTTAGCGTCATTAAAATTATTCGGTTAAGCTTACCAACTAGTAAGGAAAACAATGATATTATAATATACCTAAATTTATCATATGAATTTTAATGGTATTAACAAGTGGACTTAAATTTTTAAATTTGAAAACTAAAAGGATTAAATTGCAAAAAGAAAATAGAGAGCCTAAACTCTAAACATACAAAGAAAATAGAGACTTTAATCATTTTAACCTAAAATTAAGCATAATTTTAAATTGATAAAATCCGATAAATGTTGAATTACATTTTACCTTAATTCACGTTCATGGTAATGTGAACTATTGAAATTCATATATAAAAATAGCTTAATATAAATTGTGGAAGGGGGAAGACTGCTTGAGATCTGATTTGAAGGATTTAGTCATTACCGAGGACATGACCTCTGATAGGAAAGTATGGAGACTTAAGACCAGTGTAGCCGAGTAGTGCGGGTCACAGACATATGGTGTAACATATATGTCTTCATTTTAATGTCTTTGTAATAATTTCCATGACTTCTACTTTATATACGTGTCTGTTATTATAATTTATGAAGGCTTAGAACTAGGGTAGCGGATTAGTGTTGCCTCAGTTTATGTTTTAACCCATTTGACTTTATTCTTTCTCGTAACTTTCTATCGTTTGACCATTGTGTATCATTCTCTTCAGGTTTCCTCTTTTTATATTTAGTCGGATATTACGTTTCTGTCTATATGCAGAGATTTTTACGCATGGATTACTCCCCATTACAAACGAACATATTGAAGACTACATAGGAAGACTTTTCAATTATATATTTAGTTATTTATTTATTTATACATACATTGTATTTTATCTTTATTTTTAATTTTCTTCATACCGGAGATCTTCCAAGGAAGCTGCTCTCAATCCTGACGTTGGGGACAGCCTACTACCCTACCTCCCTCTTATCCCATTGCATATGGGAATAGGATTTTGTTGTTGTTGTTAATATAAATTGTCTTAATTATTTTATATTACATGAAAGAAAATAAAATATTAAATAAATAAAAGTTAATTTCATATATTTAAATAATGTTTTTTTAATAGCATGTGATTATTACAAGATAATATTTGTTTATAATATTTCTTAACTATTGAGGACTTACACATACCCTGCAGACGCAATTATTTGAATCCAAAACCTATAGGAAGAACAACACGTGCAATGCATAATTAAATAATAATAATAATAATTCATTAATATATATATATATATATATATATATATATATATTTACGTAAAAAAAAATTAAACCGTATATAAACGTATCTGAAATTAGAGATATAATTAAGTCACCTACGCAATTTACATGTTTGTAACTAAGTAAATAAATTACATGTATGAGGTATATATAATTTTATGATATGATCAAGATGCCAGGGCTGATTGATTTCCCAAGTCTAAAAGTGCAAAATGAACACCTTTGGACGAGGGGAAATGGATGATACTAATAAACAAGGAGCACCTTTGAAGAAATGAAATATGTTATTTAATATCCCTACTAATAGATAAACTGACCTATAACACTGTAGCCTGTACAGGCAGTGAAGCCATTCCACCACCCGCTCTGCCAATCTCCAACAGATACTCTTTTACGACAGAAGCCGGAATAAGAGGACCGGAAATGTATAGATTGAAAGATTCGCCAAAAAAATCTGGAATGCTATTCTGAGGGCGGCAAAATATGAACAGCCCTTTTGTGCTAGTAACTGCGGAAACTAAATTATTTATGCGCAAATGCCTCATTACTCGTGTTATCGGTATTCTCTTCCGTATTTTCGTCAGCTTAAAAATTAGCTGAGACCATCAACTCTGTCGATAACATCCAATGCTTTCTCTTTGTACAAGCCAAAACCAACAATGGGAACCCCGGAAGGAAGCCTTTTCATCAAGGCCTTTTCCTTGCTTTGTCTTGGAGGAGAGTGTGCACTCTTGTTGAGGCGATCATGCTTTCTCAATCTCTTCCTCTCACAGTCAAAATCCAGACTTCTGCTAATCCCCTGGATTCCTACTTTCTTAGTTAAATCCTGCAACAACTTCTCTTCTGGAGTTTGAGCAGCAGTTGGCTCAGGTTTGGGCTGCTCATTCTTCTGTGTAGGTGTAACTTGGGTTGTGATAGATGTCTTCAAGCCGAGAGCGGGATTTGACTTTGATTTGTTGACCAAATAGTGGAGCCATAATAGTTGTTCAAGAATATAGGTTTCTGTTTTCTCTTTATCGGCATGGTAGAGTGTCTCAATCCAAATCACTTCAGTTGGCCCGGCTGAAGGCTTCCTGTTGAGCTCAGAACTTTGTTAAAAGAAAGAGGAAAAAGTCAATATTTCCTTTCACTATGGCATGTTTTGCTGATTTCTAACACCTAAAAGAATAAAACCAAGAGAATAAAGGGAAACCTATACTTACTCACCCTGTGTTTGCCCATTCCCCAACCCAACCAAAACCATGATGGGCTCTGTGTAAATGCAATGAAAGAACAAAGATGGTTAGAACATTTAAAAAATAAAAAGGGTCAAAAATTGAAAACAAACTAAATAAAACATAGATGGAAGCTTCTTATTTGTGGAATAGATTATCACTTTCGGTTCTTGAGAAAAGAAAACAGGATGACCATCTTACTTGGTTGTGTTAGTGGCAAGTGGAACAAGCCAATGCAACGTCTTCTCCATCTCATCTTTGACTTCTTTAACAGTAAGCTGGAGAATTCCATATGAACCGATTAGATGGTAACAAACATAAAATGATAACTGGCAAGAAAGCGCAGCTTGGTTGGCAAGAAATATAAAGAAAACATCCATCATTTTCTTTTGGTTTTAGAATTATTATTCTGTTTTTAGAAACAATCAGAATCTTTGCTTCAAAAATGAAATTGGAAAACATAGAATACCTCTTGTTTGACATGAAAAGATTGTAATTTTGGGCGTAGAGCTGATTTTATGGAGGGTGACAAATTCTGGTATAACGCATCCCTTGTATTTGCAGGAATAGACATAAGGAAGCTTTGAAAACATAAATCTATGAAGCAAAGTCAAAAAGACTAGATATTTGGTTATTCTAAGACAAAATACATGAAGCCAGTGCATCATATATAATAGGTAAAAGATAATCTGATTAAACTATTAATGTAATCCTATTGATACCCAAGTCAAGCAGGGCATTAGCCAGACTTTGAATGAGAACCATTCAAGCGACTGAAGATAAAAAGCAAGCACAAGATCAAGACATCTTTCCCATACACACTTGTTATCCTCATACATGCACATTTACATATGTATATGTAGAGATATGTAAACATACACATGCATGTTTGTATCTCTCTTAACTACTTTAGACAACATTTCGCCCATGCTTGTTTTCCTTTTAATTGTGGTTTGTCTAATTAAGTCGATATTAGAATGCATGACATGTAATACGTAGCATACACATTGGGTGTAGTTCAATTTATGCTATCAATAAGCTTAAAAATATCATGCTCCACACTCACTTATTTACAACAAATTTCAAAATATAAAAAAATAAAAGAAAAATGAAAGAATCAATGCCAAACAGGAATACATGCAAGAGTAAAATCAGAGAAGACAAACTCACTAGAGTATCAATTTGCATAATTATATTTGCATAGTGCAAAGCAAGGCCTGCAGGTCCCAATCTTTGACAGCTACTCACAG